TGTTAATTATTTATTGGTTTAATGTAAGTGGCTATTGTTCGTCCCGAACAATACTAAGGAAAGGGCAGTATTAAGACAGCGGAAGTCACGTGATTCTGGTGGCACGTGATGAATTTCTCGAATTATCGGAGAACTCCGAGAATTCTGGAGATGCCTCCTTGTTAGCACATAAGCCTGGCAGAGAAAAGCCAATGAGTTAAGCGAACAGTAGTTACGGTGAGTTTTGGGTAATTTATGATTCTGTTTCGAGCTAGTGTGTGTTTTGTACTCGTGAAGAACGAAGTTATCGAGGTTGTGAATCGCTGTGTTTTATAAAAAATATTAAGTTTAAAGTGAAGAGAAACGTACTGACTGTGGAATCACTGTGTACTAAAAGTTTGTATCGAGAAAGAATAAACTGGTTTAATCAAGAAAGGACTTGTATCGCTGGAGTTCCTGGAAAGAATTTCTACCGGAAATTAACAAACAAGCAGATACGTAACAGTATTTATATTGAAACAGTACTTATTTAAATCAGGATTTCTAGAATAATACAAAATAATTCTAATCGCAAACAGCAAAATCTGTAAGTCCACTTGCCTTAAGCCTAACATTAGTTATACCTTTATTAAGTACGTCCTATATTCGATAAAGAGATAAATTAACGCTGTAACTTGTGTATGTTGTTTGCTTTAGTATTGTTTGAGCTAAAATTTATAATTTTATTTTACGACGTAACGTTAGATCTTTTTAAAACCTTTGATAAGCTTTTAAGATGTTGTTGCACAAAATGTCTACTAAAGTATATTTACATCGCCTTTTGTTTACATCCGTTGAAATAAAGTGTGTGCGCATGCGCATTTAGATAGTAAGGTGCACACACATTTTCAAGACAAACAAAAACTGAGTATTATTATAATAGATGTAAAACTGTGACTATGAAAATATTTTTATCGTAGAAAAGGCCTCGGGAAAATCACCAAAAAGTAAAGGTTAAGGAAATAATTTCATGATATATTTTTAAATATGTTATTGAGAATCTCCCTAAAATATAAATAATTAAAAAATCCCTACGTGGGTGAGGCGTTGTTTATATTGTGAAATGCATCATAGTGAAATCTATGTTTCATGTGGTAAGTGTCTTTACTACATGTGATACCACTGTTACATGTGGTGTTTATGCTACATGCAGCAAGTATCTATGTAACAATTAGGATAAAATGGATAAATTATGTAAACCAATGCGAGTAGATTAGTTTAAATCATTCTACCTATACTCACCATAATTCCAAATACAGGCAGCGCTAGAGAAGATAGCTGTACCAGTTGTATTTCGTTGATTGGTTGTTTTAGAACTTTATTATTCTTGCTCACTGGGACTGCACCAGTGTCGTTAGGAAACACCACTGTACCTAAGCTAATAATCATAAACCAACTGAATGTATATTTCTAATGTATTTCTACTGCTAACTTCAGAATAACAATGAGAAATAAAATTGAAGGGCATTTCGGGGGCAATTTTTGCAACCGGGGACACTTTATAGTCCATTGTTTTTCCAGTGACAATGTTCAGTAACGAACATGCTCACTCTTTCAGTCGTGAAAGCGTTATAATGTGACGGTTAATCCCACTATTCGTTGATAAAAGGGTAGTCCAAGAGTTGGCGGTTGATACTGTTGATTAGCTGCCTTCCCTATAGGCTATAACTTCAAAATTAGGGCCGGCTGGCGCTGAAAGCCATCGTTCTGCTTTGCGCGAAATTCTAAACAAACAAGCCAAATCAACAAACAAACAAACATATTGTTAAAGTATAATAGACCATGTGTAAGACAAAAGCTCAGATGGGTTGGTACAAGGCTAAGAAGTGTATTGTTCATTTCAGGCTTTATGGGAAATGCCTGAGATGCTCTCTCTTTCAGTTCCATGCGTCTCTCTCTCTCTCTTTTTTAAGAAATGGGGAGCACCAAGGGTTAAAGAATTAGGGAGAGAGTTAAACAAAGTTTCTGAATGCTCAATCACTTTATGTTGGGCTTATTTCCATGGCTTCAATTAATTTGTAAAAGAAACAGATCTAGCCCCTCCGATTTACTGTGTGTCGGTGCATATAAATCTTATAACAGGTTCGAGTATCCGTGTAAAAACAAAATAAATTCAGAATACACGTGTTTGAATTCAAATATTCTTTAAGACAAACATTCATACTAATGTTTTTCAAAACCATTCATTCCGGGAATTTTTCAATATCATGGTATAAGCTGGCGGAGTAAGAAAGCCTTTAAAACTACAAAATGCAAAAACAAGTTGCAATTCAGGTGGTTTCCCCTCAATTATCTTAGTTGGGGCCGGGCGTGGCTTAGTGGATAGGGTGCTGGCATGCGAATAGGAAGTTCCAAAGTTGGAGCTGCGAAAAGTCGCTGAACACGCTCTGCACTTTCAGCTGTGGTGGCATTATAACAGTGACGGTCAATACTGCTGTTCGATTAAAAGCCGCATTGACGGTGAGTGCTGTTGACTAGTTGTCTGCTTCCAATCAGTAGTTCTAAATTAATGATGACTCTGTCTGAACTTCAAGAAGGAGGATTATTTCATTTGGTCGTTTAGCACATGCGTCACATTGGGTGTCACTCAGGTTGAAGACACAAATTCTCTTAGCAATTACAAAATGTATACTTTGATAGTATTAAAACCACGTTTAAGCTCTGTATTTTTGTTAGAATAAAAGATGATTTGTTGTGAGGGACGAAATATATTCTTTGTCAATGACCTATAGAAGACAAAATAAGAACAATACATGCTATTTTACAAAAATATATAAAGGACTAAATAAATTGCTGGAATAAATATCTATAGTCTAACGTGCTGTTTTATTACCTTTTGTAAGTCAATTGAAAGTAAAATGCCAAAGCACTACTTATCTGGATCACTCTTTAGATGCTAGTGTTGTTATAACCAGCATATTCGAGGCGAGAACTTAATTATACAATTTAGTGGAGTTTCATGTAAAAGTTGATAACATAGTGCGATTATTCTAAACCTGGCTGTATCATACATATTAATGTTCTAATAGCTGCTCACAGTATTTGGAAAATATAAATAAAAGAATTATTTATTGTCTGATAAAGAAGAGCATCAGAAATTCGAACTCTGCTGTAATTCAACAACAGGTTAATCTAATGAAATAATTTATTGTTTGTTTTCTTGCTGTTTTGTATTGTGCGACTAACAAATTCACGTTGTGGGTAATATTTTAAGATCCCATGCTTGTGAATAACTTCTAAAATCCCGTGTTTGTGGGTAACTTCAAGGATCTTGTGCTTTTAGGGTAACATTTATAATTATGTATTTCTGGATAACTTGTAGGGTTCTGTGCTTGTGGGTATCTTCTAGGATCTTGTGCTTTTAGGATTCCGTGTTTCTGAGTAACTTCTAGAATCCCGTGCTTGTGGGTAACTTGTAGGACCTTGTGCTTGTGGGTAACTTCTAGGATCTTGTACTTTTAGGGTAACTTGTAGGATCTTGTGTTTGTGGGTTACTTGTAGCATCCTGTTCTTGACAGGATCAAGTTTTCATAAATGAAACCAATGTGAACTCCTATAACTACTCGAGGAACTACTACTTGGCAAATTGAACCACGCAGGGAACAGTTTAGTTTCGGAGCATAAAATCAGAGATAATTTGAAAGTTCGATTGGATTGAGAATACAAGAATTAAAGGTTCACATCCCGCTGCTGCGAAAACGCGCTGAGCTTTGGAGCTACGGATGTGCAATAAGAATGGCGGCCAAATCTCGGTCAGACAAACATATTCCAAGATTATGGCCGGATATGTCTTGTGTACATTTACATTAAATTTCCAAAACAAACAAAGGAACTTGATTTAATGGTTTGAAGTTTAGTGTCTTGAAACTGTTCAGCGTCTCTGAATAGGTTTAAGACTATCCAGTGAAAAACCAAAACAAGCACATTTCCCTAGGTTATGCAATTCACGAAAACAGGATTTAAATATATCCTGAAAACGGACCTTGTTAAACCAGTTTCTTGTTTATTTGATCACGTGACTTGGCAATAATAAAACTGGCCTAAAATATAGTTAGTGAAGTTTGCATACTAATGGGTTGTGCTTATAAGTTTGTCTGCTAATGAGTCGTGCTTTACAAGTTTGTGTGCCAATGGGTTGTGCTTATAAGTTTGTGTGTTAATGAGTCGTGCTTATACAATACAGTACATTAAACAGTTTTAGGGTAAGGCAGTTTAAAAGTTACCCATGTTATTTTATCACATACGTTCCACACGTTCTTTCATGTCACTCTCTATGGTAAGGTAGTTCAAAAGTTACCCATGTTATTTTGGAAACTGTTCTTTCGCAAGCAATTCGAAGCCTTAATTAACCTCAATGGGTGCCGTATGTATTTTTTTGAATACGTTAAGACTATTCAGTTCAAGTAGTTTTCGATCATTTTCTTGGTTTAGTGACTTGATTGTTACTTTTGTAGAAACATTTACTCTTGATAGCTTAGCGGTAAGCTTGAGGGCTTATAACGCTAAAACTCGGTGATGGGCGCAGTGTAGATAGATTATTGTGTAGCTTTGCACGTAAAGGAAACAAACAAAATTTATTTAAAATGCCTATGTATATAAAATGTCATTTTTATGTTTTTATATATTTAAACTATGAAAAATAACTTAGTTGCCTTTACCTAGAGACTGCCGTTAACAAGAGTAAGAGTTTAGATAAACGTACGGAACAGCACTGTTATCTGGTTCAAGATTATTCGTTGCATTTTGCACGTAAACGTCGATCAGTTTATTTACATTTCTTGTGTTTTAAAAAACTAAACAGGAAAACAATATCTGGATAGTACTTTAAATGTCGAAACTTTTCCTGTAGCCAAGATAACGTTTTCAGCTGTATGGTGTAGGAATCCAAGACTCTTGAAGGCGATTGGTTGCTGAGTTTCGCATGTCCCGTGAGTTTACCCTTGAACTTGCTGCTGTAGGTGATTGCAGTAAGACGATGGTTTTTGTTCACTTAAGGTGACCAGCTAAGGATATTAAAATTAAACAAAGAAATACGAGTTTGTGTACTGTACTGATTTATCAGTTTATACGTTTTTAAATAATCATGTGTCGTATTAAAAACGTATTCGGTTCTCGTCCACTATCATCTGACATTATTCAGTTAATAGACTCAATTTGGTCAGAACTTGATGTCGTACAGGAACACCGGTCAAGCGACGCTAAGAACGACATTGGTAGGTCTGTAGAATATTGTGGTACAAATAACAGGTAGAAAGGGAGATTAGTGCTTAGTTCCATGTTATAGAATATTGTGTAGTACAAATAACAGGTAGAAAGGGTGATTAGTGTTCAATGTCATGTTATAGAATATTGTGTGGTACAAATAACAGGTAGAAAGGGTGATTAGTGCTTAGTTCCATGTTATAGAATATTGTGTAGTACAAATAACAGGTAGAAAGGGAGATTAGTGCTCAATGCCATGTTATAGAATATTGTGTGGTACAAATAACAAGTAGAAAGGGTGATTAGAACTCGGTACCATGTCATGCATAATATTCAACTTAACTTTTAATTTCACAACCAAGTCCCTATTATTTCCTACTCCTAGAGTGCGGCGAAGGAAGCTTGCTCGATCTTCGAGCAACCGTGTGATTAATTATATTTTTAAAATAATAAATTTTCATTGAAATACCTGCCAGTAGTTCGAGTCCGAATGTTTTCCTTTTGAAGGAAGAATGTGGGGTTTTAAGGCTTTATAACACCGTCTTCCCTGATGGTAATTGGACATACGTTTTATAATTGGTTAAGCTCCATTAGTTTTCTAATAGGGCGATTAACTTTTGGAATGAGTTGCCTTCGGTAAACCAACACATTTTCTGGAAACTGAGTGGGTAGTTTAAATTTTAAATTATTTTTGGATGTGCTAGGGTAGCCTTAAAGGACCACGTGGTCCTTTGGTACGAGGAGGTTATGTTATACTTTTGAGAGCGATTGCATAATACCGTTTTTGAAAAAAAAATAATATGTTACTTCTAAAAATAACTACAAATCAATACCATTCGATGATACTACTTGTGAAACTGTCTTGTCAAAATAAGGGAGGTCCGTGTGGCTCAGCAGAAAGTCTGAGGGCTTATAATGCTAAAACTCGAGTCTCGATATATGCGGTGAACAGAGCAAAGGTAGCTCATCGTGTCGCTTTGCGCTACAACATTAAGCAATGTACCAAGTTACGAGAAATGTGACATCTCGATGCCAGGTATCGATTACGTATTTGTTTTATTTGAGTATTTGGTATTTAAAGAACTGCATTCGATTAATATTTCAGCCCAATATGTCGTGAAACCATACGAATAAAATAGCTGGTTTGTATATACGGTACACTTTGTTATCAAAGTTGCATATAAACGGGTCACTTGTGCAGACAGAGAACTTATTCTGATGTACAGGTAGGAGAATCAAACCTGGGATTGTTCAGATAACAATAAGAAATTCCCATTAAAAGGTAACCTTCAGTCTGGAAGAAACATTAATATTATCCTCGTTTTCTATTGGAGGTACTATGTTTAATACTTACGAAGATGTTTCTTCAGTTAGTTCCATCAGTGTTATTCTGTTTATAATAATTTAATGATTGTATTACAGATTTCTTTTATTTTCGCCAAAGGAAAAATGTAACGTAATTTGTGACGTAGATGCTTAATGCATTCTCTGATTTGCCGCACAAATTTATAAGAACCGTTGATTTTTATATAAACATGTTAACCCCGAATAATTTTATCTCGCATTGTTGGCTTACTGTACGGATTTAAGATGGTTAACTTAAATCTTTCAGGCTGACCAAACTTTATTCGATATCATTATTTTTGGCCGATAATATCAATATCATCGAAATAGGCTTAATGTTTCCACTAGTCGCCTGCTGAAGTTTTGCATATTCACCTGCTTACATTTTAGAATTTAGCTGCAAATGTTTTTGGGTAGCCTTGTAATTAGTAATTTCATAACATTTATAGAAATTCGGTTACTTGTTAATTTTTGATATGATTGCTTGTATTAAATCAATATATATTCTGATAAGAAGTCTATACGGTTATCTGTGTAACAATTTAAGGTGTATCCCGATAAGAAGTATTTACGGTTATCTGTGTAACAATTTAAGGTGTATCCCGATAAGAAGTATTTACGGTTATCTGTGTAACAATTTAAGGTGTATCCCGATAAGAAGTATTTACGGTTATCTG